CCCGCCTATTCTGGAGATATTTTAGGATGGCGTCCAGTACGCGTTTACCCCTCTGCCCCACCTGGAAACTTGACTCCTTCTGTGCCATTGTGAGGATACCGCTTCGGAAACTTCAGTGTGCCTTCAAAGCACATAGTTCCCTTCAAACGAGTGAAAGCAAGGCTCGGCTATCACTGATCCGATTTGTGTCGTCCGATGTGTTGCCTCGTGGCATTACGCCTCCTACCAAGGATAGTGGAAAGGTGTAAATTCTGATTTCAGGTGCTTTTATCCATGCAAGCAGATGTTTGCATGGGGTTTGGAAAGGACAATACGCACGAATCTGTTTGAGACGTGTTAATTAGTTTTCTACGTACTTACGAACTCATGCTATTAGCTGATATTATTATTTGGTTATGTTATTCTTGCTATTCTTGTTATATTGCTAATAATTTTTTAATATTTTGAAGTCCTATTTACATCCAGGTCTTCTGCAGCTTTCCGTCCGTTCCATCAAACTTAGCAATGACACTTTTGTACTGTTTGATGCCTAGCGAGCCTACTTTTGCGATACCCCCACGTCCCCGCGGCCAAGTACGGAACCCATTTTTGGGGATTTCGCGTGAAAAGAGGGCTGTTAAACGCAGCAGTTAAGTTTGCAAAGAATACACCCATAAGAATTTTTGACTTCCATAGCTTCACTCTTACTATCAACTGCGATGTCGAAGCATTGCGCGGCTCTGAGTGACCTTTGAGATTACGACCCCTCTCCCCAGAGACCAAGTACGATCCCCCTATGAGTTTCGCACAACGATGCTGTACCGTGTCTGTAGAATATGAATTGAGAAATCAGTGATCCTCTCACAATGCGATCCAATTAAGCAATACCTTTCAACGACGACATCTTCAATCCCATGAAGACTCGATGCAACGTATGGCAAGGCTTTCGGATGGAAATCAAAAGGTACGCATGCGAACTCAAGATCAGGAAATAAGAAAATCGCGGAAAAGATCGCAACTTTATAGACGCAAATGCGTGCTCGGAACATCCCATTTTCATTCCCCTCAGCTGCAACACCCGAATGGAGAAGATATGCCATACAGAGGAAGAGCGCAACGATAAAGAAGAATTAAGAAGGAGCTTTGTCAGACATTAGAATCAATCGGTTTTGCTATAATCGAAGCTGTAAACCATAAAGTGATAGCCTTTGTTGTGTGGAATCCACAATATCTACCATGTCATATACGATAGAAGGAAAGCGGTAATCCGACTGTTTCAAACAAGATATGCTCTTTTGCTGCATCTGTACCTTTTTCCTGGGACGTCAGTGTAGTCGGCAACGAAACCCAGCTCCTGTTCTAGAACCTTTGCAAGTTCACGAGTCCTTTCAATACAGTGAATGCGATACCTGAGCAAGATTATGGAAACAAGCACAAGCATGCGCTTTCTGCCGACATTTTGCACTACCAATTCTGCATTGGTGAGAGCTCGAGTTTTCCGGAGAAGTCATCTCACGTCACATCTATGAACACTCAGTAAAAATCAGCACATCTTAATGTGGAGGTTCGTCGGACAGAATCAGCTGCTTCCTCACAAAGCTCCAATCGCTACTACTTCCTCACGTGGCTGCTCGGTAACCGAATGAGGGAGAATTCGTGCCTGCGCCGGATCTCTGCACAAAGTGTTTGCTACCCCAAGATGACGAGTATCCCCAAAATTCACAACAGAGCTGAGCTTATGAGAGTAATACCTTAGCGTTAGTGATAGGAAAGCCCCTTTAAATGTCACGCATTCCCACTTCTGACTTTTGTGTGCGTTGCGAGTGCGATTATTGCTAAGGTGTTCATTTGTTATAAGCAGGTGTCAGCAGTTGTTACAATGTTACATATATCGTATTGCAGTAAGTAACAACTTTGTTGTTGTCAAGCGGCACTGCCTAGTTGGTTCATTTTGAACATTGGTTCCTGTTGAGTGTTGAAATATGATGTTCGTATAGCAATCTGAGGTCCGAGGAAGCAGTTATTACAGCGAGGGCTCATCAATGAAACTTATTTGAGCGAGTCTTCAATTCTCTAAAGAAGGACTTTTCATCATGATAAATTTTTGTCATAGTACAATTCTACACGATCATTATCCTTCAATCTTAAATTTGTGACGCAGGGTTCGCAGTGCATACCTGATATGAGGGCACTGCGATGCTGCGACGATTTCGTTGGCTTATGATTAGACGGGAGGGATACAGATGCTGAAGGATGGACAGCGACACTTGCTTCATCAAAACATGTTATCAGCGGTATCGAAGAACGTAATAAAGTAATGCTGATTTTTTATGAGACTCTCTTGTTTATGGCTTTTAACCTGTCGTGCCAAAGGGGTTGTTGGGTGGAAGACTTTGTCAAAAATGGTCTGACGTTTTCACACGATCGTCTTCAACAGAGATCTATGCATAGCTCAAGGTTTAGATAATGCACCCTCTACACCGAGGAAACGCCTCGACACGCTAGCGTTTTTGACGTACTCTTAAGAAAGCTACCGAGGATTATAAATGTGAGAAAGGATTACAGTCCTCATCATTGCGGACCGGTGGGGCGTGGCAGTGCGGCTGCGTTTGGTGCGGTTTGGCAAAGTCGTTCTGCACCAGTTTTTGAAGCGGGCAAGTGCATTACTGTATTATATCCTTCGTATTACTCGTTTTCTACCACTTTTTGTCGCATACGCGTTTCAACAAAAAGGCTGAGAACGGCTTCAACAGTGTGCGCACTCCTTCTGGCTGACACGCCCCACCGGTCCGCAATGATGAGGACTGTACCACTCCACCACCACAGGAACGGAACGACGTCACTCGCTTTTAGCTGTAGTTTGTAAGTGAGACACACTGTGCTGTCCTTATACAGCAAGTATAGTTAGGAACAGCACGTCTCACTGTTCACATCAATAGCTCGCAATGTGGCATAAATGGCAAGAGGTCATTTGTAATGGACAGACACTCATTTCCGGTTGTTCATCCTAGGATTCATTCCGGACATCCAGAACCCTCTGGCGCTTTTCGGAGGCATTTCAGCCATGATTTGCGATCAAATGCGCGCCAAGCGGTGTGCGCGTCTTGCCGCACCTTTTTCCAGCAATGTGCTATTTGATACGTTCTAGCAAAGTTTTTGCAGTTCTCGTTCTGATTCTTCTGGACAGTGACCAAATTCGAAATCTTTTCGCAGACCAGTTTTGTCACAGTAGTATTAGTAGAGTATCAGTGAAGCCGTTTACAGATACGCGGAGCTTTTCAAAAGTATAGTGTAGTTCGCTGCGGACGGTTGGGCGTGTCAGTGCGGCTGCGTTTGGCGCGGTGCCAAACTCGTTCTCCACCAGTTGTTGAAGCGGGCAAGTGACAATACTGTATCATATCGTTCGTATTCGTTTTCTACCACTTTTTGTCGCATGCGCGTTTCAACAAGAAGGCAGAGAACGGCTTTGACGGGGTGACACACTCATACTGGCTGACACGCCCAACCGTCCGCAGCGAACTAGAGTGTAAGGAGGAGGACTCGAATCGAAAATGTTCCATGCTAATTCGAGGAGCGTGCTGTCTTCGGGAACAGTCTGTAAGCTCACCACCACTAGTTGCCGTGTGTGAGGGGAATGGACCCTCAGCAGCAGAAAAGTGCCACATTGTCCGCTCAAAGTACACGGAAACGCGTTTGAATAGTAGCGTCTCCTAGCTCCGACTCTTTCGGCACTCCAGCCACACGCGTAACCATAGCCCTGGCAACTTATCTGAGCACAGTCACTTCTGTACGCTCTCTTCTTCTGACTGCGTTTTCACTGCATCATTCTTGACATCGATAGCGGTAGAGCTATGCCTCAAGGATAGCGCAGGCAGAATCGGGAAATGGCATGCGGGTATCACTACCTCCCAGTACAGAGGCACGCTAATGTAGCTGCAGACCCATTCGGCTCTCACATGGCAAAGACCGCGCTCGGAGATTAACGTAGAGTAACCTAATGAAGAAAAAGTAAAGTCTGACGTAATGATGATGAAACCGTACTCAAGAAACGACCCTTTGTGCAGCTGCAGAAGACTACTCACGTGGTGTTTGATACGCTACACTTCTTCTCAATCAGCTCTACAGTTTCCGAGATTCAGACTTGTTTGCAAAATCCTGGCTGATGAATCTGTTGAAAAGGTAGTGATTGCATGCGGGCGGGGCTTGGCAGCTATGTTGTGAACGGGTTTGTGTGGATTCTAATGGACGTGTTATATTTATGTTTTTCTGATTCACACCACGACTCTGCCTTGGTCTGTTTGTTAGCTACCTCTTCTTACTACTTATTACTTCTACTTGTGTTTTTGGTGACGCTGATGTCTCGTGTTTCCATCGAAGGCTGTTGTTGTGTTCAGAGATTCCAGTTCAGTTCAGTTCACTTCAGTTGAACATGAACGCGCATTGCTTGCGCATTTCCTCAGTACTCGATCTTCTTGTCTCCGTTTGCTGTGACTCATTCGAGTCATTTCTTTGAGAATTAACTTCTTCTCCTAACTTCTTTTTAGAACCACTGAGAATGCAGTTTGAAATTTAAAGCCCGATATCTGAGGAAATCTAACAATTCTGGCCATATTTCTGGAAACTGTCTCCTACCGAGAATCAAATGTCTCTTCACTATATCTTAATTTCCATAGACAGGGAGGGTGATTAAAAGCAAACTGCACATTCACCCCGAGGACGGTCCTTGCCATGTGGGAAGTGAATGGGTTTCCCACTCACCGAAAGGGCTAGGATTCACGGAGGTGACTGAACTGTCTGCCTCTGAATCGACCAATTGCGACATCTCAGAGGAAATGTGAAAACTGATTCGAATCCCATCAGTAGTTCAGCAGTTGTATTCCCAGGAACATCCGGATGAGAACTCAATCGTAGTACTGCCTACATGTTGCCCAAGGCCTACGAAGTGTATCAGCTCTTTAGCGATCACCATGCACTCTTTCCCATCTTTGAATCCCCGCACATAAAGAGGATATGCAAATAGTATGAATGATCTTCATGTACTTTTCTGCTCGATGGGGATGAGTGAAAAGTTGTCGTCGTCAATCTTCGCTGATAAGATGACGATTTTTTACAATTTCGAGGTAAATTAATTACGTTTCATCAAAAAATGTTCAGGTCCCGATGAGCTGTCCTGAGACGGAAGAACTTATTAGAGATGCACGTTTTCGCACCATTTTGGGGTCACAATGTTTGGCAGGCGTACTCTCGATTATTGTATCTTCCATGGTACTGAAACGATGTACTAGGCTCTATTTCCACATCAACTGTAGGGTGAGTTTATCAAATTGTTGGGACTGTCGTTTACTTTAGTATGACGATGTGTGAAACCCTCTGAATTCTGCGCATACGATACACTGCGAATAACATGCAGGCAGCGGGTGTATGTATAGCATCGTTGTGTAACAATACAGTCGTCATCCTTGCACTTGATAGGGGCGTGTCGGCGAGAAGGAGCGTGCACACTGTTTGAAGCCTTCTCAGCCTTTTCGTTGAAACGCGTATGCGACAAAAAGTGATAGAAAACGAGTAACACGAAGGATATAATACAGTAATGTCACTTCCTGGTTCAACGATTGGTGCAGTACGGGTGCGGGCGACCGCGCCGCACGCAGCCGCACTGACATTGACTATCAAGTGCAAGGATGACGACTGTAGGGTCGTACTTTTCGGCTGGGGAGGGGGAGGGTCGCATTTGGTCGCTGCTGGGAAAGAGAGGGGTCGCATGTGGCTTTGACAGAAATTTGCCGCGTTGGGAAAAATTTTCCCCGGTTGTTGACTCTTTTTGCGTGATATTTCCTGATGTGTAGTATTTATCACTACTCCCCTACGCCCCTCCCTGCTCTCAGAAAATCTCTACAAGGGAATGGTTTGAACTTCCCATGGAACTTTGAATGGAGACCTAGGTACATCGATAGAGCCTCGAATGCTGATTACGAATATGCAGATTAAAAGTGCTACGGGGACCTCCCAGACGAGATCTGGGTGGTCAAAGTTTGAGTTCTGGCTCGTAAGCGCTGCTGATCGATGCCTCGGCAGTGCCACCGTGGCCTCGTGGTAATGGTCTCGCTTTCAAGTCAAACGCATGCGGGTTTGCATCCGGTTGGCGCGAAAATTTTTGCTTCGCTCCGTATAAGAGCTTCAACTCTAATTTTCGAAATTCTTCCGAATTTACGGCCCAGCAGGGCAAGTAGATCAAGTACATCAAGTATACGACGTACTCGATCTAGTATGGATTTGGTCATATCTGCCCTCTGAACATATTACCCATCCGACAATTCAAAGTTTTGCCAAGAATTTGGCCAGACGAGCGTTTTTTCGTCGAAGGATGTGATATTCGTGTTCAGGGGGTCGAAATCTCCCATGAACGAATTTCTCGCTAAAACTTTGAATTGTCGGATGGGTAATATGTTCAGAGAGGGCAGATATGACCAAATCCATACTAGATCGAGTACGTCGTATACTTGATGTACTTGATCTACTTGCCCTGCTGGGCCGTAAATTCGGAAATTTCGAAAATTAGAGTTGAAGCTCTTATACGGAGCGAAGCAAAAATTTTCGCGCCAACCGGATGCAAAACCGCGCATGACTTGAAAGCGAGACCATTACCACGAGGCCACGGTGGCACTGCCGAGGCATCGATCAGCAGCGCTTACGAGCCAGAACTCAAACTTTGACCACCCAGATCTCGTCTGGGAGGTCCCCGTAGCACTTTTAATCTGCATATTCGTAATCAGCATTCGAGGCTCTATCGATACCTAGGTCTCCATTCAAAGTTCCATGGGAAGTTCAAACCATTCCCTTGTTAGTGAAAAACTGGAAAATTTGGGTAAGCTGGTAGGTAGCAGCTGGGGAAGGGGGGGGGGTCGTACTGAGAACCTTCCTCGCAGGGGGGGGGGTCGTACTGGCACCGCCATCTCACACATCACGATACTGTACCCTGGTTGGTGTTATAGCAAATGGCCCGCTTACCACTGGCACGGTCAAGGGATCAAATGCCGGATCGACCCGGCCGAGAAATCTTTCCTCCAGAAACCGTTGTTTAATGGCAGATTCGTCCCGGAGGATAAAGACACTGTCCTGTCATCGGCTAAGACCAGCAAGTCAGCAAAACAAGTAATTTAAGAAAGGAAGGCACGAGGAGAACAAGCTTGTCTGCACCTTCTACTTTCAGCTTTCTTGTTTGTTTTAAAAGTGCTTTCCGCTTGACTTCACTATTTGGTTATTTCTGCTTGCCTTTGCTTCAAATTCGGAAGATTATGCTGAAAAACTCACTTTTAGATCTTGATTGCTGCTATGCTCATTGTCTATACAGTATACTCTATTCTAGTTGTGGGAATGCAGGTGAATTGTTATCTCTCCCTTTTCATTGCCGTTGCAGTAATGGCTGCAAATCGATGTGCGTTGTCGTGTCGAACAGCTAATACTACTAGTTCTACTTCTATTGTATATGGAATAATCCTAACAGACCAAAATTTTATTTCTGCTCCAACCCCGAAAAATACGCGCTCCGACAAAGGGAACAGCCTCACGAAGCCACCCAACTTTTTTACGCCATTATGACGACCATCACCCTGGTGTTTGTGAAACTCCGACTGGTACCATTACCTCGGTCTGCTGTGAACATTTCATTGAGGCCCTTTAGCTGTGACAAAGGTATAATTCACCTGACATCTCCTTTCTAACGCCCCTTATCGACTCTTATTAACACCCACTGTCACTTAAAAGCAGTGTCTCCATCACTTTCCGAATCGCTTGCTAAACTCGATGCCGAACTTCTGCAGTGGTGCGCATAATGTGTGCCCGAAGCAAAATGAATCATTGTTCTATATATACAGAAGGAAAGAAGAAAACAAAAGATGGCCGTTTACTCAGCTCCCTGGAAACACAGCCGAAACTAACCGTAACTAAGTTGGCGACATCTCCAAGGCAGCGCTCTTCGCGATTGCGGGTGCATGGCCGAGCGCGCCCCGTCGCTGCTAATCAGACCGCTCTAATAGTTTAAAGAGAATTCATATCCATATAGCCTTTTTCTAACTAAATACTACAAACTTCACGCATACTTTTTCTGTATTGAGAAAATGGGTTTGTTGATTAGGAGGAAAATCTTCTTTCTTCTCCTTGTTTAAATCTAGATCACGAGAAGCTGACTCTTATAAAACCTTCATTTGGGGTGAATTTCATGCAGTTTCTCCTTTCCACTGTTCAACCCCATACATTTTTCTCCTGGGTTTCCTCTTCACCGTTGTTTCTTAAATGAGTTCGCAGAAAGAGTTACCTTCTTCGCTAAGTTCCTTCATGTTTCTTACCTACACCTTACCATTTACTTACAATAAGAAGGATAGAAGATAAGAAAGTAACCCTAAATGAAGCTTTAAAAAGGCTTATTCTCTCTCTGTCTTGATTTCAGTAATCAAAAGAAAATTCGACCTGAAACAAGTCACCTTTTTCTTGAACTTGGAGGGTAGCGTGTATGGAATTAGTACCATTCTTCTGAGAAAAGTGCTATATACATGCGAAGGGGCTTTAAAAAAATCAGAGCGGTCTGATGGGTAGCGTTGGGCATGCGCACACCGCTAACGCCGCGAGCGCTACGATCGGTTCGCGGCGATCGCGACGGCAATCGCAAAGTATGAACGCTGCCATCACAAGCTAAATCGATGATAACTAACGTGCTAATTTCCACTCTGGGTTGCGAAAAAATTTCCTGGGAATTTCATGCGAAGGACTTCTAGGGTAATGTGGTGAGCTGGGTCTCCTACATATGTTAACCTGAATCTGAATGAAGGGAGTTTTGTATTTTCGTCACTTCATTTTCTGCTGTGAAACTTGTAAAGCTACTTTTTTAAGGCCACGCAACTGTTCCGATACCTGACATTCAGCAACCCTTGTAACGTTTTGGTTCAGTCTGCGATATGTTTCGCAGTGAGACTTCCTATCACGATATGCACATCTTCGTCATCTCTGCTAGAGGTACAATCCGTACGTTGCTGGGGTTTTCATTTGCTCATAACAACTATTAGGTTGAGTCGATATGATTCGGACAAATTGACAAATTTTTTCTTTATCGTACAACTTTTTAACGACAACTGGGGTTCACTTGAAATATGCTCCATCTTCATCGATGACCTTCTGCCACCGGATAGGCAGATCGTGGATGCCCTTGCTCCAGAAGGCCGGGGGCTGGGCCTCGAAGAAGTTCTCGAGTGCCTTCTTGACGTCGTCGCGAGTTTTGAAGTCTTGGCCGTCCAGGTGGCGTTGGAGGTGGGAGAAAAGGTGGAAATCCGAAGGGGCCAGGTCTGGAGAGTACGGTGGGTGTGGAAGCACGGTCCAACTGTACGACAGCAGCTCGGCCTTGGTCGATCTTGCAATGTGCGGTCTCGCGTTGTCGTGCTGGAAGTAGACATGGGACCGCCACCGAATTTTGGACATTTGCCTTCTAATTGACGAATGTAGACGTCGGCGGTTACTGTTGCACCTTCATCGAGCAGTTCCCAGTACTCTACGCCGTGTACGCTCCACCAAATACAGAGCATCACCTTTTTCGGGTGTGGACTGGGTTTGGGGACGTCGTTTGCGTCGGCATCTTTGTCGACCCATTGTGCACGGCGGTGAGAGAGTAGAGGACCCACTTCTCATCGCCAGTGATTATTTCGTCGAGCCAATAGTGGAGCGGGACATGGAACGAAAGTGCGACCTCGCACCGCCGATCCATGTCCCGCTGCGTCAGAGCATGGGGTACCCATCGACCGAGTTTCAGCACCTTGCCGATTGACTTCAAGCCGCGAACGACAGTAGTCTGACTCACCCCAAGAGCGGTCGCCATATCTCGAGTGGTTTGATACGGATCGGCTTCCACCTGTTTCCGCAGCGAGTCCAAATCCAGCTCCCTCGGGCGTCTCGCATGGTCTTCGTCTTCGATGGAATAGTTGCCCGACGCAAACTTCGAATGCCACAAGTAGACTGTACTTCTAGCGGGGGCATGCTCCTTGTAGACTTCCTTTAGGCGTCTGTCGATATCCGCGGGTTCTTGGCCAGATAGCGTTAGAAAGAGTATGACGTTGCGGAGGTGGTCTCTGGACGGCTTGAAATCGTGCGGCATGGTGGCGGAATGAAACTAGTTTGGAGTGTTTGTTGATTGCATTTTGAAGAGCTTTATATTCTTTCCAACGGTACCTCGCGCGTCCATTTTCGTTCACTTGTTGCTGAGTTATGATCTCTAGAAATCATCACTACCATTTGTCCGAGCCATATCGACTCAACCTAATATTCTTTTATTAGCCGCTGATAGCAATCGTGAGGAATGTTACAGTAGCTGCAGCAGTCTTTCTGAGTTAGCAGTTAAAAAGAGCTGCTAGGTTTCTCTGTTCCTGTGAAACAACGTGAAAACTCTGCAGATAGAGTATGACATTTGAACGACCAGTTACAGAAGCTCCAAATTTGGTTATGTGGGCAGAACTAATAGCAACAGCAATGAACACTGGAAATCCCTGAGATGTGGTAGGCGTGGCTGCGTACTTCAGCTAAGTGGCGGTGGCTGTGCTTTTGGAGAGGTATTTCATTTTGACACAATGGGGTCATGACTCTTTCCAAAACTGAACGAGATGACATTCGCCTCGAACTGAAATATCCCACGAGTAACCCACGCAGCGACGTAGCTTGCAGGGTTGATAGTTTGGAAAAGAATTCGGGTTCATGGCGCATCCCATGGAGGTGTTGATCAGCGTCAATGTGCTCGAAATCCTATTGATTACGTGTGGAAAAGATGTATGGAAAGCCAACCGAGCCCTGCAGATGATCATGTGGATTTTATAGGAGGGAGATCTTTATACTGCAGCTAAAGCTGAGGTTTACAGCGAAACCCGCAACGGCGAATTTGCGCGATGAATAAGCTACAGCAAAGTGTTGTACTCATCGGCAAAACAAATTTTTTTGCTTTCTGGAATCCGTGTAGTTTTTCCTCTCTTGGACATGCCTCAAGGCCTAATATGGCCTTTGGAAAGAAAAAAACTAACCCAACCTTATGCAAAAACTTTCCGCGTTATTTCAGCGGACGAGCGAATTCTTGCTGTAATTGAGCCACTGTGAAGAGCGTGCCATCTTCGGAAAGAGAAACGTTCTAGTTTCCAAAACCGTGTATGTCTCCGTTTCTGAATGAAGGAATATCCATTGGAATGTAAAAAAAAATTCGCGTTTGCCAAAAATTCCCCATTTTCTAATCAGAATCTGTCATGCAGGCTTCATAAGAACTGTCCGTTTCCCTTTGTATAGTAGACCGTGCCCACACAACATAGATCGCTCCTACCGCTCCAGATGGGCGCTGGAACGTACTATGTGAAGGCAAGTGGCGAGCGCGCTCGAATCTAAATACGCGACGCGGCAGCAGTACGCTCAACGCCTCTCTTGTGGTTAGGGCTGTTTCGCTTGGGCGGCGTCATTGTTAGGTTTCTTCGCAGTTCCACTTCGTGCACTGCACTACTTCTAGGGCACTGAGAATGGGGAGAAACTAATCTCCCCCATTCTCAGTGCCCTAGTTCGATTGGTGGTAAATGTCCCTCGGTGCTTACATACTTACTCGGTGCAATTCGCACAACACACGACATATACAGCTACATCTTGATGAATAGAACTGATACCTTCCCACACTCCACAGTCACCAAGGGGGAGGGTCGTATGGACACCCCTTTTCAAGGGTCGTACCACACCCCCCTACCTTTGCGCGACGTGATGCTTGACTCTGGTTGGATTACAGAAAAGGGTGTCAGCTGGTCAACAGTCTTTTCCACAAACACTCTGCTGCGCACATAGATGTGAGACCAAATGCATCCACTGTAGGATACCTACAGTTAAATAACTGCTTTCTCTATTTGTTAGCTACAAAAATAATATCCAGAATAACTCAAGAGTTTATAGCTCTCCGCGGTCATCGAACGTTGCATTGCGCTTTGGAAACGCTCTCATTATGATTCATTTGGACCAAAGATTGGATTCTCACTCGTGTTCATGTCGGTGAGTTCAACATGATGTTGTTTCTTATGTCTTTCTATTATTTTCAGAAGTTTCCAGCACAAAACCAAACCGAAAATATTAGGCTGTATAAAAGTCCCTGCAATTTTAGCCACAAGCCGATCCTGATACCTTTTCTCTAGCAACACCCATCCGATTGTTTTAAACAGATATGTTTTAAAAGGTCGTTGCGCGTGTAAAAGTTATACAATTTGGAAATGACTGAAATTTCTAGAGAAATACGGTATTTAGTGCTTTACAATTAAAAAAGGCAAGGCCTTTGCAAGAACATGCAAAAAATCTGTAAAATGTAAATGCTGCAAGTGTTCTGACAGTCTTTTATGGTCGCCAAGGTAATCTGGGGCCAGCGTGGCGCTAAATGGCCACTGCGAGCGGGAAGGGATGCTGCATAAACCACTAAAGAAACTTCAGTGTACCTCACTGTATGCCAAGTAAGGCACTTGAATTTTGACCTTATTTTACGTTGTTTTCCATGCCTAGTTGAGGAACACTCATAAACTATATGTACTCAGCTTTACAGCTAAAACAGAGCCGAATGAGATGATTAATTTGCCTATTCTGAGCAATTTGTTTTTATTCCTTTTTTGGCATTCCCAATAGCGTTTAGCAAGAATGAACCCCACCTGTGTGGTCCATGAATGGACCCTACATCATGCAACAAACCGTTCCGAGAAACTCCCACATGTTCTGGATGACCTCCCTTGTCAGCTCAAAGACTTTTGGCCGATGTCGGCTAACCGGCTCACCTTTTTAAACTTGTGAGTTCTAAAAGGCTATGGCACAAAAAGCCACTGAGAGCTGATGGTGAGAGGGTAAGAACGGTCCAGGTGGCCTAATGGCTACGGCACTAGCCCGACCAGCGGGAGATGCGAGTTCGACTTACGCCTGGGGATCGCCTTCTGGTTATAGCTGTCCAAAAAACGCATTATTGTGAAAACTTTCGGAGCATGCACTAATGCAGAGTCTCGCATAAAGTAAACAACCATTGCTGGTGGAGACGAGCCTGTGCAATTGCTGCCATACCGCTAAGGAGACAACTGGCTTCTGTTGACTGTCGATTTTTTCCGAAATACCGCGACAGAAAGGTAATCTAGGCAAAAGCGATTACAAGCCTTTATCCTTTCCGTTTTTTCCATGATAATACTTTGTGTATGATCACCATGGTGAGCAGAGCTCTTACTTTACCGCTTGTTCGATGGAAAGAAAAACTTGAGACTCAAAAATAAAAAAAAAAAAAAAACATATTCGAGCACAAGATTTCAGGTTCTTCTTGCTGTGTTATCCGGTGTTTGGGCAATGTACGAGGAGGACTTCTCACAGCAATATGCATACTGTTCCCGTGTTACTCCGAATACAACAAGGAATATGATGATACTGACTTTTGCGTCATCTGGAGTGTCCGCTTCTACGATATTCATCATTGCCATACTACTTGTATTCAATAATGTTGCGAACAGAAGGTATTTCAATAAGCTTATGAATGATTTCTTTACAGAGCAGTGGCGCATTGAAACATTAGTGTAAGGGGTGTCGAGTGGTTTTTGCTTACGCAGTGCATATTGTGTTGCTTTGTATGCAGGCGACCTCGTACTTTCACAAATCCCCAACAGAAGGGTAAGGGGACGGGTTAGCCTGGGGATAATTTTCTGGTCTCCTGAATTCTTCCGTTTCACGCGCGCTATTTAACCACCCGACACTACTTGCAAAACTGTGCGATATCTGTTCCCCAGATGTTCTGAGGCTCCAGAAGACTACTGAAAAAACCGCTAGTTTTGATTCTGCTTGTTAGTAAACCCTAGAGCAGCATATTCGTTCCATTTCACTGGTCTTCGTACAGCATGAAAAGCTTCGAGCGATTTGTTGACAATCGTATCCGTGATATCGTCCTAGCTCTCTACCAGCTAGTGTGGCTTCGTGACGGGCTGTAGCACCATCGACGCCATACATGCCAATCGCCTCTCTCTGGAGAAATATCGTGAGAATCAGAACCACAGAAGAGAGTCCATCTCACTTGGACAAGACATCCAGTCGTAACCAGCGTGGAGTTATATGGTGCGCCTTACGACCGGCGCTTCTAAAGATTTATTTAAGTGGCGGGTGTACCTGAGGCTCTGCGCTCTCCACGTTCCTCTTCATTGTCACCATGGATGCCATTTTACAAGACCTTCAAAATTGAAGTTCTATTCCTCTTCACGAATCGGGAATCTTCAAAGCGCTTCTCTACACTGAAGATGTAATGCACGCGATGAGGATAAGAACGGTTTCAAGCAACAGGTGCACTTTCGATCTGAGCGCTCGGCTAACTTCGCGCTCACACTGAACGTCACGAAAGCTGTGTTTTGACAACCGACTCGAGCGAGAGCGGTTCCGTCATAGCCGGCTGCAACGAGCCAAAGCGTACAACTTTAAAATAACGCTTACGTCTTATGGCAATTCGGACTCAGAGGTAGGCTTGCGTGTGAGTGCAGTCTGGTCAAAATGACGCTCTCTGGCTTGCGTTTTTTTTCCAAAAGACGATGACAAACGCCTCAGCTCCAAAGTTTATAGAACCCTCGATCAACCTGTGGCGATATATGGTGCTTCAAACAAAGGAGCTAACATCGCCCTGAAGTGTGGACGGCAGAAGTCACGCACATGGATCTCGGTCAGAATGATGACATACGCAAGGGAGTCGGTGTAGTTCCCACAGCCGAGAAAATGCACGAATTTTGCCAGCGATGGTACGGCCATGTACAGCGCGCGAATTGACACCATCCTTAAGAATGGTATTGAACTCGACGGGCCGGAAGGCGACCTAGGGGACGTCTCAGACGGCGCTGGGTAGACACGTTGCGTGCGGACGTGATGATAGTTGCACCCACTTCGACCAAGCATGCATTCATCTGGTACAGATGGCATTACAAAATAAAAATAGCGGACACCACTACGGAGTGGAACAAAAGCTGAAGAAGAAGAAGAGAAGAATACACATAAAGAA